TCAGGGAAGGAGCTAGGGCTCTGGGCATAAACAGGATGTTGGATGTTGAGAGAGAGAGAGAGAAAAAGAGAGAACAAAAGTGAGCTGTTGTTGGTTCCCCAGAGAAAGTGCCCTGGTCTCCAGTCTGGGTGCTTAATCAGAACCAGAGCCTAGATTGGGCGGGGGCCGGTTGTGTGCCCTCTAGCATCATGGAACAGGACTTGTTGGGGGACGTCACCTCCCCACATCATGCTTCCCAGGGTCCTGAGCTTGAATTGCTGCCCTGCCACTTCTAGCAAAGCCCCCCCATCCTCCCCCTTCCCACCTCCCCCTCCACTCTATCCCTTGCTCCTCTGGCCCTTGGGACTTCAGGGCCCTGGCCCGCCCTGCCCTCAGCTGCTCGACTCCCTCCCCACCTGCGGACTTCAAGGACAGTCCTTCCTCCCTCTCTGCTCATTAATTCCGGATCCATGTTGCCTTCCTCCTGAGTTGCAGACGCACCTCCGCACCTCCGAAGTTTCTCTGAACAATCAGCTCGCAAGAGGCAGATTCATGGGAGAAAAGGCCTACGTGTTTATGTTACGTGTATATGCGGGAGCCTTCAGAACGATGACCCAGAGATACAGGGGAAACTACCCATTGTTATGCTTAAGTTCAACAAAGTGTGAACAGTCGTGTAGAAATAGGATTGGACAAAAAGGGTGTGATCTAACATTACTAGACTGAGTAGGGAAACCCAGCAGCAATACCTATCTCTAGATCATACTTGGCCTCTCTGAGCAGCTCCTTCCTTCTGGCTGTGGGGCAGGACCCACTCCAGTCATTTCTTTTTTTCTTTCTTCTCTCTCTCTTTTTTTTTTGAGTTGGAGTTTCACTCTGTTGCCCAGGCTGAAGTGCAAGTGGCATGATCATGGCTCAGGGAAGCCTCAACCTCTTGGGTTCTGGCAGTCCTCCCACCTCAGCCTCCCAAGTAGCTGGAACTACAAGCGTGCACCACCATGCCCAGCTAATTTTTTGATTTTTTTGAAGAGACAAGATCTCTCTCTCTGTGTCCCAGGCTGGTCTCAAACTCCTGGGCTCAAGTAATCCTCCTGCCTTGGCCTCCCAGAGTGCTGGGATTACAGGCATGAGCCACCACACCTGGCTAGGTCATTTCTTGTATGGTCAATTTCTACCCAGAAAAGCAGAAGGAAAGTTAAGAGTCGTATTTTTAAGTTTTACAGCTGGCTTTGGGGAAAGGGGTTCTGGTTTCTCCGGCCCACCTTGGGGAAGGGGGATTGAGGTTTCCATGGCTGGCCTTGTGGAAGAATGGATCTGAGAGACAGGAGAGCAGAAGTCAGAGACAAACGTTGGCGTCCGAGGCCTTCATTTTGGAGCGCTGTTCTCTGACCCCACGCCAGACAGCCTGCTGTGTTCAGGCTGCACCCCCAGCATACACAGTTGCTGATAGGCACTAAATATTTGTTTAGTAAAATCCATCGTTTGAGAAGCAAAGAGTAGGAGCGTGAAGAGCAAGGAAGAGAAGGCTGGAAGCTCAGACACAGCCTCTGCCAGCTTTGGCGAGGGCACCAGCCATGCTGCCCGACGTGCTGCTTCTCTCTCTCTGTGCTGCAGGTAAGGCCGGCCTGGGCCTGGAGGGGAGGGGACACAGGGCCCCAGGGACCGGCCTTGAGGGAAGGCACTTCTCCCCGGTGGGCCCCAGACTTCCAGGTGAGAAACAAAACAGAAACCAATGACTCTTTTCTTTTTTTTTTTTTGAGTTGGAGTCTCACTCTGTCACCCAGACTGGAGTGCAGTGGCCACTCCCACCCACCGCAACCTCGACCTGCTGGGCTCTGGCGATCCTTCTGCCTCAGCCTTCCAAGTAACCGGAATTACAGGCGAGTGCTACCACGCCCAGCTAATTTTTTGATTTATTGTAGAGATGAGGTCTCGCTGCCCGGGCAGGTCTTGAACCCGCGGGCTCAGGCAATCCACTCACCTCAGCCTCCCAAAGGCACGGGATTACAGGCTGAGCCACCGAGCCCGGCTCCAATGACTGTTTTCAACCCTCAGAGAAGGGGTGGGGACAGTCAGGCACCATCTCCTCTGGCTGCAGCCCGGCTGGGCCTCCTGCCCTGTCCCTCCTCAGCTGTCCCTTCCCGTAGCTGTGGACCCAGGGCACAGTACCCTGGCTATCGTTACCCACATCTTGCCCTCATCTTGCTGCCCTGCAGCACCTTCTCACCCATCGTCTTTTAATCCCTAACCCACGAGTGCTCAGAGACTGAGCTCACACTAGCTCACACGAGCTCATAGGCTAGTGAGGACATTCCCTGGGAAGACGGATTCTGTGAAGAAGCCCTCGGGTTGTGTAGAGGGAGAGGCCTGAGGAGGGGCATGGGAGCCGCAGGTCAGGTGGGCAGTTTCTCTGTGGAAGGGAGATGGTGCTGCACACACAGCATGCAAAGAGCTAGGAGACAGCCCGGAAGGGCCCAGGCAGGGCAGAGGGCATGGTGGCACAGGCCCCAGGTCTCATCTTCATGGGCTGTGGGGGGAGTACCTGGGGAGGGTCTTAGAAAGGCCCTCTGGCTGCAGAGTGGGGACACTGGGGGGCGCAGTAGGCATAAGCAAAGTGACCCAGTGGGCTGGGAGAGAGGAAGTGACTTGGGCCAGGGCAGAGAGGATCTGTGTGTGGCTGGATGCCAAGACCTGTGTGTGAGGAGGCAATGACTCAGGGAGCTTGCTGGAGGGGCTGAAGAGGCTGGTGTGTGCTCAGAGCAGGGCGGCTGGGGGTCTCCGTGTGACACTATGGGCCTGGGAGCTGGGTGGGATGCTGGGGGTCATCCTCACTGTGTAGAAGGCCCTGGGACAGCTGGGGTGGCTGGCTCCTGAGATGACTGGGCGGGACCCACTAGATCGTGGGCCACAGCCAGCCATTAAAAAAATTAAACAGAATGCTTTTCCCAGTGACAGGAAGCATCCTTGACTCGAGTGGGTGTGAAAGGGTGTTCTTTTTGGGCAAGTGCCTCCTTAGGCCTCATCCCTGTTGTCTCCCCTGCCGTGGACATTCTTGCCACGCTGTAGCACCCAGTTCTCTGCTTACTTTCTTCTCCTGGGGCGTGTGGTTTGAGGCTGGCTCCTGTGACCTCAGTTCACCAAGGCCCTGGCACTAAGCCCTGAATTCCTCCCTATATTGTTCACAGGCAGGCGGGACTGGCAGAGCAAAGAAGCCCTGGGCCAGCCCACATTTTCTGGGAGTCCCCAAGGGGAGAAAGGGAAAGAGGAAGGGGGGGAAGGAAGGAAGGAAGGAAGGAGAGAGAGAGGGAGGAAAAGAGGGAGGGAAGGAAGGGGAGAAGGAGGAAGGAAGAAGGGGGGGACAGAGGGAGAGAAGGAGAGAGGGAGGGAAGGAAGGAAGGGGGGATAGAGAGAGAAGGGAGGGAGGGATGGAAAGAAGGAAGGAAGGAGGGAGGAAAGGAGGGAGGGGAGGGAGAGAGGAAAGAAGAGAAGGAAGGAGGGAGGGAGGGAGACAGGGAGAGAGGGAAGGCAGGCTGAGGTCCTGGGGCTTGGGGCGAGTTCCTGGGAACAGTGTGATTTCCTCATCAGCTCCTTCCCTCCTTTTCAGCATGTTGAGCCCTCGTGAAGTGCCTGGCACTGAGCTGGGCGCTGGGAATATGAGGATGAATAAGACTTGTTCTTTGCTCCCAAATTGCCTAGACCAGGCAAGGGAGACAGACAAGCAAAACCTTTCTTTCCCCGAGAGCTTTCAAGAAAATTCTGATGCTGATCCCAGTGACGGAGATTCAGATCCTTGCTCTAGGGTGGCCTGGGCATCGGTGTATTTGGAAAGCCCCCTCCCTAGGTGATTCTCAGGCAGCCTTGGTTCTGAGCCCCGATGTTCAGGGAGTGCCCTGCTGTGACGAAGGGCTTGGAGCCAGGAGCCCACCCAGGGCTGTTTATTTTTCTTTCGGATTCAGGGGGTACATGTGCAGGCTTGTTATGATATATTGTGTGGTGGCGACGTTTGAGCACTCGTTGAACTCGTCCCCCAAATAATGAACATGGTCCCCAACCCCCTCCCTCACCATTCAGGCGTCCCCAGTGTCTTTTGCTCCCATCCTGTGTCCATGTGTGCCCAGTGTTTAGCGCCCACTTATACGTGAGTATATGCGGTATTTGGTTTTCTGTTTCTGTGTTAATTCACTCAGCATAATGGCCTCCTGCTGCAACCGTGTTGCTGCAAAGGACAGGATTTCCCTCTTTTACATGGCTGCATAGTATTCCATGGTACATACGATCCCGTCCACTGTTGAGGGGCACCTGGCTTGAGTTCAGGTCTTTGCTATTATAAATAGTGCTTGGACAGACATATGAGTGCAGATGCCTTTTTGGTAGAATGATTTATGCTTTAAATCATTTAAACCCAGTAATGGAATTGCTGGGTCAAATGGTAAATTTATTTTTAGTTCTTTAGAAATTTCAACTTCTTTCCACAGGGGCTGAACCAGTTTACATTCCCATCAACAGCGTATGAGCGTTTCTTTTTCTTTGCAATCTCATCAACAACTGTTGCTTTTTTACTTATTAATAATAGCCATTCTTTTTTTTATTTTTATTTTTTGAGTAGGGGTGTTACTCAGGTGCCCAGGCACAATCATGGCTCACTGCGGTCTTGATCTCCTGGGCTCAGGGGATCCTCCTGCCTCAACTTCCTGAGCAGCTGGGCCTGCAGGTGTGTGCCACCACACCCACCAATAATAGCCATTCTGACTCCACCCAGGGTTGTTGACTCCCAGCTCTGTCCCCTTCCCACTGGGTGACCTTGGCCACGCCACTTAATTCTCTGTGACTTGGTTTCTTTATTTGTAAAACAGAGTTATATCTTGGGAAATTGCTGGAAGGCCTCAGTGAGTTAATGGCGTGACCTGTTGTTCTCAAGCACTAACCAAGATTACTGCATCTAGGAAGGGCATCTAGGAAGGGCTCCAGCCCAGGATAGGACAGAAGCTGAGGTTCTAGCTGGGCAGAGGGACAGGGGGGAGATGAGAAATCGGAAGACTAGGAGATTAAGAGAGCCGGTGGAGGCAGCCAGCCTTTCTAGGCCAGGAGTGCAGCTTGTGCAGAGGCTGGGCGGAAGATCTGGGTGTAAGGGGTGGGCCTGCAGTGAGGGGTGCAGTGGCAGGGAGGAGGCTGGAGCACCCATCAGCATGTGGGGGAGGTCCCTCCCGCTCTAGCCCTGCAGCTGGCGAGCAGCGACAGGACCCTGCATCGTGTGGAGGAGGAGCTGAGCTGGCAGGACGCCCGCCACCACTGCCGGGCGTACTACACGGACCTCGCGGACCTGCACCTGCCCACCCTGCCCACCCTCTACTTCCTCCTGACGGGCACCCAGGCCTGGATGGGCCTCTTCTTCAACGCAAGCACTTCCGGCCTGCAGTGGTCCAGTGGCTCCTCCTTCAAGGCCCTGGAGTGGAGCTGGCCGCTGCCCAGTTTCGGGGTGGGCATCTGCGCCACTCTGTACACATCCATCCTCTCCATCCCCAGCATGGGGGCTGCCTCCTGCTCGGCCCAGAAGCCCTTCTTCTGCTACTATGGTGTGTTCCTGCTCATATTCTGGGCCTGTCTTTCCAAGGTTGCTTTTCAAGAGCAAAAGTAAGAGCGAGAGCAAGGGCGGGGGGGTGGAGAGAGAGAGAGAGAATGAGGAAGGGAGAGAGAGACAGAGAGAAAAATGGAGAGAGAGAGACAGAGAGACAGAGAGGGAGAGGGAAGGAGGGGCACAGAAGGATAGAGAATGTCACATCCACAACTGCTCTTCCAGGGCCTTGACATGTACGTGGTGGCTGCCTAGGTTTGATGCTGGGCTCCCAAGGGAGTACAGAGATTCCCGGGGTGGTGAGTGTGCCTGGAGTAGGGAGCCCCCCCAAAGGAAGGACTGTGCACATGGGGCTTTCCCCACTCTTTCCACGGTCTTAGAACTCCACCAAGACCTGTCCCGACCCCACTCACCTCTCTCCAGCTCTGCGCCTCCACTGTCCCTCTCCTGGGTCTGCCCTGGCCCCTACTGAGTGAGCTTTTGAAAATGTAGCTCAGATCACTTTCCTGAAGCAGATGGGGCAGCTGGTCCCCATCCTTCTGGTGAACACCCAGAAGGCCTCACTCCCTGCCCCTCTCCCAGCCACACTGACTTCCTTTTGCCCCTTCCCACCTCAGAACCTTTGCCCTTGCTCTGCCCAGGCGACTCTTCTCTGCCTTTACAAGGTGGCTTCTTCCCACATTCTCCTCAAGAGCAAGGACTCCGCTTGTCTCGTTTCTGTTTTCCCAGGTGTAGAAATGTGTGTAGAAATGTGTCCCGGGTGTAGAAATGCTTGCAATAGGCGCTCAATGTACGCTTCTCGAATCAACATAGAGCCTGTCTACCCCCGAGCAGACCCCCCTGGCATCAAGTGGGCAGCGCCTGTCGCCTGCAGAGGACCCTGGGCAGCCCTGCCCCACCCCATAACTTGTGATCTGTTTCTGTCTTCCAGACCCCGACATTGGGCACCTCATCTCCTGGGAGCTCCCTCCCAGCCCGACCACCTCTCCAAAGCCAGGTACGTACCTGCTCCCTCTCCCCTTCCTGGGAATTCAGCTCATTTCACCTGGGACTCATCTACCTGGATCAGGTAGCAGGGTCACTGCTCCAGGTCCTGCTGTCCCCCTACCCCTGCCTGGCTGTCTGGAGAGATCCCAGGCTCGGCTGCCCCCAGCCTGAAATCCATGGAGAGGATCGATGTCCTCATTATTTTTGCTCAGGGCCACATCAGAGAGTGGCACCAGAGAGTGGACTCTTGCCTGCAGCCTGGTGCCCCTCCACGAATGGGGGCGGGCAGCATCTCTTCACAGCCCAGCCATCTTGGGAGGGGGATTTTCTTTTTTCTTTTGAACTCTAGGCTCCTTTATTCCATAATCCCATTTTTAAAGATTATTATTATTTCAATAGCTTTGGGGGACACAAATTGCCTTTGGTCTGGGCTTAGAGCACCCACCACCCTCACCTGTGCACATCGTACCCGACAGGTGATTTTTTTGTCCCACCACCTCTTCTGCATCTCTAGTTTCCATGATACCATTCTGCATGTCTCTGCAGGTCCTTGTTTAGCTCCCACTTGTAAGTGAGAAAATGCGGTGTTTGGTTCTCTATTCCTGAGTTAGTTCACATAGGATGATGTCCTCCAGTTCCATCCAAGTTGCTACAAAAGACATTATTTCATTCTTTTTGATAGCTGGATAGTATTCCATAGTGTATATATACCACATTTTCATTATCCACCAATCAGTTGATGGGCATTTAGGTTGATTCCACATTTTTGCAATTATATAATCACCCTGCTAGATAACGTCCTAATTTGGAAGCTCATTCCATTATTGGTCATCTCTAATGAATGTATTAAACTTAAATCTGTCTTCTTGGCCTACTTCCATACTTTGGAGTAACAGAGAACTAATTTAATTAGTCTACTAACATGCTTCAGCACATCTCGGGCCTCTGCTTGTTCCTTAACAAGTTAAGCTCCTAACAATTACCATCACTGTGTTTTAAAATAGCTTTTTGGTTTTTATGAGGGATAACTGATAAATGACAAACTGCAAATCTTTAAAGAGTTGTGTATACATCTGTGAAGTCATCACCACGATCAAGATAACAAACACATCCATTAGAGAGGAGGATTTTCATCTGAAATATTTCCCCTCTAGATATTACTGCCTTAGTATTTAAAAAAAAAAAAAAAAAAAAAAGCTGGGTGCAGTGGCTCACACCTGTAATCCCAGAACTTTGGGAGGCTGAGGCAGGAGGATTGCTTGAGGTCGGGAGTTTGAAACCACCCTGGTCAACCCCAGATTAAACAAACCAAAACAAAACTTTCTTCTGGGTATAGAGAAATTCTCTGACGAAGGAAATAGCCTCAATCTGCTCTGTGGGGCTGGTCTTCTGCATGGAACAGAATTGTAAATGCGAACGGCATAGGCCTCTGAAGCAGGCCGAAATGCGTTTGACTCCTATCTTGTTGTTCACCACTGTGTGAGTTTGGGCAAGACACCACCTCCCTGGGCCTCCTTTTCCTCATCTGTGCAGTGAGGGACATCTACTTCTCAGGATGACAATGCAAGGCTTTAAAAGCTGACGCTGGCCACATGTGCAGCTCAGGTCTGGCACGTACTAGATGTTTAATAAAGGGCAACTTAGAAAAATCAGTTTAAATAGGGAAAACATTAGGGAAATAGACTGGAGAAAATGCTAGGCAAATCTCAACGGGCTTAGGAGAGCCCTATTTGAATCTGAGGATGCGACTTGGCTCTGCACATGGGCGTTTCCTCCATCCAGGCCTCCAGATCAACACCCAGGTCGAGCCCAAGCCACTTCCACCCTTCCAAATTTCCACTGGTGGAAGTCACACATATGTGGGCTTGTACACTGCACAGGGCAGGATAGGCTGGGCTTGTCTCACTGTGGGAATGGCCCAGAACTGGCCTTGCACAGGGGACAGAGGGAGTGGCTGTGTGAGTCGGACTTTTTGGTCTGAGTCCTGCAGAGAGGCAGGGCCACTGGGGCCTCTGCCTTCTGTCCACCAGGTCTGTCCTTCACCAGGCTGGCCTCTTCTCCCTGGCCCTCCTGCCACGGTGAGCCCGGGAACATCACACCTTTCTCAGTTCCTAGGCCAGGAGCCTCCTGAGAGCCAGAGGGACAGGCACAGCCCCTAGAAATCACAAGCAAGAGTGACTCAGAGCCAGGATTAGTCTGTCTCCCTCGCAGTTTCCCTGCAGACTGTAACTGGTATTTTATTAAGCCCTTTCTGTGTGTGTGTGCTAGGCTAAGCCTTTTTCTTTGGTAGAGTTGGAGTCTCATTTTGTCATCTAGGCTGGAGCAGTGGCACCCTCATGGCTACCGCAGACTCACCTGCTGGGTTTAGATGATCCTTCTGCCTCAGCCTCCCAAGATGCTGGGACTACAGGCGCATACCACCATGCCTGGCTAACTTTTTTATTTATTGTAGAGACAAGATCTCGCCATGTTGCCCAGGCTGGTCTCAAACTCCCAGGCTCAGGCAATCCTCTCGCCTCAGCGTCTCAAAGTGCTGGCATTATAGACGTAAGCCACCGCACTTGGTCCTAAGCCATTTATATATGTACTTTATGTCATCCTGACCGAGGCACTATTATTATCCCTACTGTACAGATGAAGAAATTAAAACTAAACTCATATGGCCCTATAAGTTACAGAAGAGTTCTTAACCCCTGCTTTCCCGACTGTTTCCTTTAGCTGCTGCTAGGTTATCTTATTCATTCTCCCAACCTGTTATTTACTCTGCCTACAGAATTGTGGGGGATTTTGTATTAAAAAGTTTTTTGAGTTGAAGTTTCACTCTGTTGCCCAGGCTGCAGTGCAGTGGTATGATCATAGCTCTCTGCAGCCTCGACCTTCTGGGCTCAGGAGATCCTTCTGCCTCAGCATCCTTAGTAGCTGGGACTACAGGTACATGCCACCACACCTGACCTATTTTTTTCAATTTTTTTAAGAGACGAGGACTCACTGTATTGCCCAGGCTGGTCCCGAACTTTCAGACTCAAGTGATCCTCCTGCCTCAGCTTCCCAAAATGTTGGGATTATAGGCATGACCCACAGTGCCCGGCCAGAATTGTGGTTTGGATCAAACCTAACACTCAAGGACTGGGGACAAGGGCATGGGTCAGACTAGAACTCTGTTCCCAGGGGCGGTGGGTGCTGGACTATCCAGGACCTCAGGCCTGTGACCTCCCCATCTTTGACCACAGCTGAGGTCCAGATTGGTGGCCGGACCTTTGTGCGGTTTGACCGGCGGATGACATGGTCCTCAGCCCTGCTGTACTGCCGCAGCCTCTACACAGACCTGGCCGACCTGCAGGCAGTGACCGATGAGTCAGGCATGGAGGCCCTGACACCCATCACAAGTGATACTGAAGCCTGGATCGGCCTCTACCTCAGCGCCAAGTCTGAGACTCTGAACTGGTCCAGCGACCTGGGTGCCAATATCCCCTCGTGGCTGAAGGTGCCCAAGTTCAGGAGGGGCCTGTGTGCAGGACTTCGCAGATACGTGAGCTACGGCCCCCGTGTTTACTCGGTGAACTGCTCTTCCCCGCATCCCTTCATCTGCTTCTACGGTGCGTGGGAGGCTGCTTGTGCTGGCCTTGGCTGCAGAGGGTGGAACGAGATGGGAAATGAGCCACCGAGGGTAGACCCTGGGAAGCACTTCCAGACTCTGAGGGAACTGAATCCCGGAGCCGGCACCGAGACCCCATGTACTAGGATCTTGTGAGGAAGTTGGATTATTTTAACCCAGGGGATATTTGAGGAGTGGGATGGGCTCCGCCCAGTCGTGGGACACTAGCAACTAGTATCAGACAGATGTTAACCCCGTGTAAGAACCAGGCGGGCAGCATCTCTGAGCCTCTTCGTCATCTGGAAAATACATTTACCGAAATGATGGTGCCCAGCTGATAGGATGGCTCTGAGGGCTGAGTGAGAGGATGTATAGGAGCTCGCAGAAGCCCTGGCGCAGAGTGAGCACCCAGCAGATTATAGTGTTGTCATTGTTCTGGTCACTGCATGCCCAGGAGCCAGCCGTGCACCTGGTTGTTCCG